CCATCTCCCTCCTTTCTCCTCACCCCCCCTCCCACCCCTTCTCTCTCCTCCCCCACACCTCCTACACGTCAAAATTCGGCACCCAAATCAAAGGTGAGTCTGCATTGTTTGGGCTCAAAACAGTACACCAGTGTCATGTAAGCTCCTTGAAGAGAACAGCTGCAGGTAATTCACATGGAGAGGATCCCGAGCTCTTTGTCACTGTTGTCTTGTGACTGTCGCTGAAGCCAGGCGTGGGCGTCAAGTCCTCTCTCCCATTAACGCCTCAGCCCTGTGGCCTGTGTGCTTGGCAGCTGTCTAGCTCTGTAAACGAAACCAGAAGAAGATGCTCGCGGTTTGGACGCCACCGCAGCGGGGACCGCATGCTGGTCGGGCTACTGGTAGCTCTGACAAGTTCTGCACGGTGGACCAAAAGACACGGAGCTCCGTCGTACGCGGGGGCTTGTTTATGTTACAAAAGACCAGATAAGGAGGTTAAAAGGTCAGAGATTTGTTTTTGTGTTTAATCTGTCAGTTTTAAAAATATATACACGGTATATGTCAAAAGGCATCAGAAACAAACCCACAAACTTCAGCTTTTTGCTGGTTACTTTAGCAAATAATGGAAAGAGAAAGAAAAAAAATGTGGTCAAGTCTAACATGCGACTGGGATGAAAAACATGCTTGGTCAAAACCACAAATAAGATTACAAAAAATTTGAATGTAGCCACAGTTTCTTCTCTAAATGTCTGGATTAGTTGAAAAATAATATTTCAGGGGATGTTAAATGTTAAGTGGCGACACACTATAGACAATCAAAGCGCAACCTTAAACAGTGCCTGCGGCTGTTTGAGAAAACTATGAAGAAGTCTGACTTTCCCTTAAGAGCATGCATTTAGAAAAAAACAAAAACAACTGGCATCATGTGTTGCCTTCCTCGGTGAGCTGGTGAACCCTCACAAATTTATTTACGTAAGTTAAAAGGCCAAATATAATTTAGAATAATTTAGATGTTCCCAGAAGTAAAATTAATCCTTTTTATAACAACACGCTCCATAATGATAAATGGACCAGAGTGTGGAGGGGAAAAAAGCACGGCAAACCTTTTCCGTTGCACTAGTATTTGAGGTTAAGATTCTTTGGACTGGGCCGGAGAACATTTTTCCACGCAGTCGACTGAAAGTTTGCACCCTTCAGAAAATGATCATTTGACCAAATAGACTGACAGTCTGATGCCTTAAAAGTGTGAATGGTTGTTGTTATTTTAAATGTTTTACTCACCACCAGATGGGATAGCCTCCGAGCACCCGTGAGCTGGACAACCACACACACAGCAAATATCCAATCAGATACAAATCCATGAGGTAAGCCTTGTCAAGTGTGTGTAAGTGGATCAATACACAGAACTTGCAATAGGCAGTGAAGAAGAGTTTCCAGGATGAAGAGCTTCTGGAGTAGCTTAATTGTTGAATGAAGGGGGGAAATTAAAATATTTGACACACACAAAAAAAAAAGAAAAAAAAATCTTCCTCCTGTTTTTTTTCCCCCCTCTCTTTCTTTGAGTCGGGCCAGGAAAGTGTGTCTGTCTCCAAGTAGTTAAGAGAATAAGTGTCTCTTACACTCATGCACACGCTCCTACCCGTCCTCTCCTTCCCTCCCTCTCTCTGAGGTTCTTCCCTAAGGTAGATATCTTTTCCTCTCTCTCCCGACTTTTTTCTCCCTCAGGATGCCTCATCCACAGGCCCGATATTAAAGTGGAGGGCGGGTGGGGTGGAGATGTAGGTGGTGTTGGAGGGTGTGGGGTGGGAGGTGAAGGAGGAGGGGGGGGGGAGGTGTGGTGGGGGGGGGAGGGTGGATGGATTGTAGGATGAGGTTTGGAGATGTCAGCTGGCAAGCCAATCACAGGAGATGGCCTTAGGTTACGAAAAAAAATTATTATTCGTTCCCATCTGTCAATCACACGCCACCCCCTGGTAATGTGGAAGAGAAAGGATAGAGTGCGAAAAGAGAGCGAGAGGGAGGGAGGCATAGGGAGGGACAACATGGAAAAAAAAGGTAAAGTGGAGTTGTTGCTCAACTTGTTTAATCCGTGATCAGGAAAAAAAAATAAAAAATCCCCCTAGAAAGTGGCTGGAGGCAGGTGATGAGGTCTTGGGAGGAAGCTTGGCAGTACCTGCTGACACACATGCTGACACTGATTTGTATTTTTTCTTTGTTTCGTTTTGTTTTTCAGAAGCTTGTGCCCTGACTAATTGATCCGGATATAACCGCTGCAACTCTCACGCACGTATCCCGCTCCTGTGCAGACCTAACGGCGGGGGGAATTTTCCAAACTGTTATCCTCCAAAACCCGCCTGAAGAAGAGGGCATGAAAGGGGTCCCCACAATAAAGCCATAAAACGGCAGAGAGGTGGCTGGGCCAGGCACGCAGGGGTTACGTGCTCCAGCGGCCCAAAGGCGACACATTTTACATCAATACTATTGTCATTCTGATGGGCTGTGAGGCGAGCAGCCGTGGGACAGAGTGAGGGGGGGGGTGCGGGGGGCGATGGGGAGGGAGGCAGAGGGTGAAGGAGGAGGGTGGGACACTTGAGATGATCTTAGCCTGAAGAGAACATGCAGGAGATAAACCCACAAGGAAGCTGATCAGGACGAATGCAAACAAGATACCCAGACAAAGATCAAAGGACGGCGGCTGTACGGATGACTTATCTGGATTATCAAATCGGTCGCAATGACTGGCACGCGGTGCCTCAACCGCCGTGGCTTTTTCACAGTTTGTCACATTACAGCCACATTCTTAAATGAAGTAATTCATCGGGGGTTTTATGTGATGGTCAAGCAACACTGTGAAACGATGATCTCAAAGGTTTATGCAAATCATTATCTGTAACGTTGCGTAGCCATGTCTCTGCAGTTAAAGTATATCGCCCATGAAACTCTCTGAGAATGAATGTCAGGTCTTTCTTGAAACTCCAGAGGACTGAACCTGGCCAGTATTTGATCCAAAACTTTCCTTTGTAGCTCTGTCTGAATTTCTGTGTTTTTGTTGTTGTTGTTGTTGTGCTTCAAGCTGAATCTGTCACCCAGCTAAAAGACGTTGTCAATTTTCCGCTCAGGATTGTCCTATATTTTGCTACATCCATCTTTCTGTCTGTTGATCAGTTTCCCTTTTCCCGTGGAGGAAGATATTCCTAACAGAATGATGCTGGGGCTACCACCATCACCACCATCACCACCATGACCACCACGCAGTCTTAATTTTATTCTGCATCATGTTTTGCATGTTGGTCAAAAAAGTTATTTTATTTTATTTATTTTTTTTGCCAGTCTTTTGTAAAATCCAGATGTGTGAAGTGCATGACTGACAGTAGTTGTCCTGTAAACAGATTCCCATATCTGAGTTGTAGATCTCTGCAGTTACATTGGGCTTCTTTGCTACTTTCCTGAATAAGGCCGACAGACATTGTGCCAGCCTCTCTAATATCTAATCATATTTAGAACAATTCAGTGCAAAATGTTCAAAGCTTTGGATAATGTTTTATAATCCAGTTCTGCTTTAAACCTCTCCACAGCTTTATCCCTGATCTGTCTGCTGACTTCCTCTTCGTGATGGTGTTTGCTCTCTAATGTTGTCCAACAAAACTGATGCCTTCACTGAACAGAGGGATTTATACTAAGATTGAATTACACAAAGATGGACTCTATTACTGGCTAGTTCATTTCTGAAGCGAGTTCATTTCATTACAGTTCATTGTGGGTGTCAGAATAAAAGGGCTGAATACAAATGCACACTATATATGTTTTGTAGATTTTGATTCTACACCCCAGTTGTACTTCACAGCAGATGCTTAATTTAAAAGTTTAAGGAAGACAGGAAATGGTGCTTTACTGGACTGAATTGGCACTTTGAGGCCTTTTACAGAGTTTACACAGTCACAGTTCAAATTATTATTATCTTTTTTAATTCAATCATGAATGTTCAACTTGAGACAGAAGATTTCATACTGACTAGAGTTTGACCCTAACAAACTTTTAATACTTTTTGTTTTAAATTCCTGGCGTTTCACATCCACGCATACAACTCAATCAAATTCTGGTTATTTTTGTCTTCTTCCACTTTTACAGGGAAAACATTTTTTTGATTAAATCACCACACACTGCAGAACTTACTTCTATTAGATTTTAGCTCAGAATTTCTGTCTCAAAGGTGGGAGTTAGAAAGCTTTTAACTACCTTTATTAAATATTGCATACATATTTAAACATGTGGACAGCAACAAGGTTCTATCATTAAGGGTTCAACATTTGTTTTCAATATGCCTGAGAGTTGTAGCACAGTGACTGCTTGTCTGAGAGTCACTTTTTCCGTTTCTGTATTTGATACAATGCGCCCTCCTTCGCCAAAAAAGGTGGGAATCGCCATGGCAACCAGTGATTATAAGCATTTTTCAGGTTCTCACATGACTCAGCAGGCTCTTCTTTCCCATCATAATCAATCAACAGGTAAGCTTTAAATTCTCTCTCTACATATAATTTGATGTGTGTTAAATTTTCTAACAGTAATTTTATGGGCACATTAAATATTCTCTGAACACATTCTAGTTGAAATCAATTTTCTTCGAACCACTTTAGCTTCTTTTTCATATTTTTTTCCCCCCAAAACACTATGAAAGAATGTGACCTATCTCAAAATAAACGGGCTATAATTTTTGTGTCGGTTAAGCAGACTTTCAGGTATTCACAAGGTCATGGCAGCTAAACGTTGCACATTTTTGTCCTTTGTTTTGAATAAATTCATAGATTTAAGTTTTTACTTTTTAAAACCTTATTTTTCAGTGCTGTGTTGAATCAAGTCAGGTTTATTTGTATAGAAGATTTTAGCAAAAATAAAAAATAAAAAAAGTAAAACAAGAAGGAAATAAACAGTGCCTTTTGTCAAATGGCGCCATCAAAATCATCAATACACAACAAATATCAATTATTAATCAATTAAATACCAAACCAGATTCCCCAACTAGGGTTGGTAAAGCATCCATCTATTGTTTATTGCCACCAAAATAATATTGTAAGCTTCTTACAAAAAAAAAGTCAGAGATGTTGACTCCTTTTTGTTAGATGAAGGCCAAACATAAACACTGACAGAATTTGGACTTGACAGACGTATTTTAATTGATTTATTGAAAATCAGAGAACTTTATTTGATCAAACTGGTTGCAATATTAAAGTGGGTGCTAATGGCTAGTTCTTTCTATTTTCAACATTGCAAAATCTAGGTCTGGCACCAATAAACAGTTTATATCTCAGCAACAACTTTGAGTCAGGACCAAGGAAAGAAACGGTTTACTGTGGGCTTGGGTTGATTCATTGAAGCCATCAAAATCTGGATATAGCTTAGTTTTTGATCTAACTAATTTGCGATAAAAAATAAATAAATAAATGAATAAATAAATAAATAAATAAATAAAAAATACACAAAACTTTGAATCCTGAGTGTCAATGCTAACAAAAAGTTGTATTAAAATATCAGAAAATCACTGTCTCTAAATTCATCATTCAGCACAAACAATAATTAGGTCAAATCACAGTATGAGATGGTTGACCATTAGCTTTTTCATACCACCAGGCAGAGTTAACTCTCACTTTTTAGCGGCACTGGTACCAATTGGATCAGGTTGTTTAAAACAGTATTATTTTGCAGCATTAGGAATTTTGAGATAAATAATTGAATTTGTGTAGTTAAACTGTCTCGCTTCACTGAATTTTACCATTAAAAAGTACGAGGATCATACATGTAGGAAATCCTTAAAATGATGCAATGCATTAAATATTCTCTTCTTTTTAAAGAAACGTTTTATGTCTAATTTAATCTGCGCTGCGCTGGCGATCTGTCCAGGGTGTCATCCGCCTCTCGCCCAGTGACCCCTGGAGATAGGCACCAGCACCCCTCACAAACTCACTAGGGAAAAGGGTGTAAGATAATGGATGGATGGATCTAATTTAATTTTTAATTTACAAAAATAGTCAAGTGATTTACTCAACATAAAGCATCAAAAACAAATCTTGTTCTATTAATTGAACAAGAGATATTCACAAGATGTGTTTTTTATGTGAAGAAAAAGTTGACCTGTAATGAGTTCAACTTCGGTGAGTCACTAGTTGGAAATTTTGTCCCACCAATCAATTTCAGCAGTGATGCGTTTGAGGTGTTTATTGCATGTAAAGCCCTTTTCCAACATCTTAATCAGAGCAGAATTGTGAACTTTGAGCATGCCCAGGACTTTTCACTCTTAGCCAGTCCTTGGTGGAATTACTGTCATTTTTTTTGGGTCATTGTCATTTAGCTGGTTCCAGTTGTACTTTAGGTTTATTTATTTTTACAGAATGACTCAAATATTTCTCTGTAATACCCAGTGGAACTCATAGTGGCCTTTCTATATGATGTGAGCTGTTGCAGCAAAAGCACCACCAAAGCATGACACTTCCACTATTATGCTTTGCAGTACTGTGTTTGGTTTATATAAAAAGATTGTAACTGTTCTGGTGACCCATTTTTTCTAGAAATCCTGGCATTTGGCTACATTTTCTCTGGCAAACTTCAATCTATTCTTCATGGATTTTTTTAGAGAGCAAAGCTTACCCACTTATAAAATTACACTTGTGGAGTCGCTCTCTGATTGTACAGACGAATACACTTTAATGTCACCATTGTAAAAGCCCGCT